CATTAAATGTTGCTTTATGTCAGGCTGTAGCAGAGGTCCCAACAGGCATCCAAGGCTTACATAGTAAGGGATACAGCTGTGCCAGATTAGCTTGTGCTCAACCCCTCTGAAACAGGCAAAGAGAGTGACCAGAAACAGCAGGAGCTCAGAGAAGTGGAAGGGCTGGTGGAAGGTCCCGCAGCAGGTCGGCAGCGAAGCTAACAACACAAGACATGGATTCTTCCCTTTCAGAAGCCATCATTTTCATCACTAAACCTTTCAGCAGTACCATTTAGAGTACTAGAACCAGACTCTAGTACCAGGGAAAAGAATGGTTCACGAACTACAAAAAAAAGGTCTCCAAAACCCACAGTGAGCAGAAGCAATAGGATTTTTTTTATTCAGCTACCTTGCCTATGTAATGATAACGACTCATGGCCTAGACAGAGAGGATAGCATCAGGAATCACTTTAACCAGTAAATGTCCCACCAGAAGCATCATCATGATGTCTCCACCATGGGGTGAACCCATGGACAGAATCCCAGTGATTTTCCCTGCAAACCTCTGCTATGGTGTTCTGTCTTAACAGATCAGCAATAGTTGCTTGCTGCATAATGGAGTAGACTCTTCTCCTCCTAAGTGTTTGTCTGTCAAACCAAAACACAGCCTGATGGAGGAAAAACAAATGCAGTTACAAAGCATCTGTGATGAAGTAGCCATTTGTGCATAAATTATGAATAGAATTCTGTGAATATCTTGCATAGGGCAGTAAGTTCTACAAAAACAGAAGGGAGAACTTCAGAATGTGGGTGGGTAGGTGGCCCAGCATATGTGAAAGTCAGGGACTTCTTTGAATAACATAAGATTTCAGTGATATTTTGTCCAGTCCTGGAACCCAGCTCAACCAGATCTCTGATGGTTCTTTTCTTGTCAGGGGCCAAGAGGTCCTCACGTGAAAGACCTTTCTGGAGAAGGGTGTGTTGGATTACATGATACCACTTACCAACTAATTACTGGTGCTTGAAAATTACTTGCTACCATGATCTAGCATCCTACAATCCTTGCAAAGTTACGGTTCTTCAAGTAGTTCTGTGAAAAACGCAAATCCGTTCTAAGATATAGAGAGAAGTAAATCTTATTCTATCTGTAGGCATGCCACTAGCACGCTCAGCATTCGAGCTTTCAGCAGCAACAGGAAAGCTGTGCGCAAAAAAAAAAAGTTCCAAGTCTTGCTTTGGAACTTTTTCCTGGGGGTGTCCATCTCATGTTGAGTTCAAAATCTGAGCAATTGGGCTTTCAACTAAAGACAGAGCACAGCAGGGGAGGGAAAGTTATTTCCTTGCAGATACCAGAGCATTGCTCTGCCAACTTAGCAATGATAGCGCTTGAGAATGTGCACCAACTTGCCCGGACAGGGCTCAGTAAGCATCAAGATGCAAAAGTGAGCTCTGGAGTTACAGAGACTCTCTGATTTGAGTCAGAAATGGCTTTTCTTTTTTTACTTTCAAGATTAAAGAAGGAAACATATGTAGAACCCCTTGTATAAAATGTTTCCTTTGGATACCATCTTTCAGAAACTAGAGCACAAAACAACCTGATGCAAACCACCAGCATCCCACTGGTGTGAAAAATGGATGCAATTCCCGTCTAGCAGAAACACTAAGGGTAGCACAAGGTATTTCTCTGCTGGGTGATCAGAGAAGAGTCGTGTGTTATTACTCTGCAGAATTCGGTTTATGTTTTCATTAATTTCAAAATCAGCAAACCTTAAACTTTCTTTGTATGGGCAATTTTAGCTCCCAACGACCGCCCAACTACAGGATTTACTATACACAGTTTGCCACTAGCTACGACTGTCAGAGATAGCAGAGACTTACCACTGAGGTGAAGGATAGGTTTTCACCGGCAGGAACATTGCTGGCTTCTGGGTGAAAATGAAGAATCTTCAAATAACATATTACCTCCCCCCACACACATACACAGAAAATGTATGTAAATCTTATATACAATACAGTACATCCTGTATTCTGTACCTCAGAATTAAATCATATACATAATTTATAAATATTTATTTTCCAAGCACAAAGGCTGAGACGCTGTGCTAAAAAGGCATGCAGCACAATTCTAAGCAAAGGGACAATCTGAATCTCTGAACTGCTGCAAAACCCCCAAATCACAAGAGCTTTTTCCCCGCGCCCGCCCCCCCCCCACCCCCCGTGGCCTCTTTGACATCTCAGGCATTGGGAAGGACCAACGTATCTGGACAAGAGACGTGGACGGCTCCCACGGACAACCGTTTCACTGCCAGGAAGAGCTGTGGTAACAGGTTCTTGTGATAAATCACTGATCCCCTTTGGAGCAATACTTGAGACTGCATAAAGCACCTCCACATCTGACTAAAATTCTAGCAGATGTCCTACAGACATAAATTATAGGAAAGATGTACAAGAACACACTGAAGTAGTAATGAACGGCAATTCTGGAGCATCAAATGGAGATGATCTTTTTATAGAAAATATCACCTGCCAGATAAGATCTGAGTCAGCCACGTCAGCTTCTTCTGCCCTGGTCTACACCGCATGCTCCACACGTCTGGTGGTAACGGTGGTGGTAAAAAGCTGGAGGAAAGATAGCCACCTGCTCTTTAGTTCTTTACTTAAACGAACTAAGAACGATTTGACGGGTGACTATTAGCTCCATCCCCTCATTCCCCGACACCCAGAACAACTTGTTAGAGAATGTATCAGAGCTTTCCTGAAGCCATTGGGAAGGCTTATCTTACTTTCCGGCCTCTCAAAATGCCTCTAACCAAAGCTTCATATTTATTGTTCAGACAAGCCAAAAGAAGAGCTCTGTGGAGTCCCTTCCCAGAGTGAAACCTGAATCTTCAAACCAGAAATCCTGCTCCTTGCAAGTGTTTCAGTGATTATATAATTCTCCTTAGTCATACTGCCCCTTGGCCTGGGTAAGTAGCAATGATTAAAAGCTTTTGTTCTCTGCAGGAACCAGTAGTTGTAACTTGCAAGGATCAAACCATTAGTTCATTCAGGAATGAGCCCAAGAACACTTACATTACAGCAAGCGTATGTACAGGCCTTGTACTTACTGAAAATAAGTACCCTGACTGTTGAAACTAATATGGAGAGCGCTCAAGCTCCTGCTCCTTGCAGAACCAGTTTTAAGGTCGTCTTAATAAGTGATTACATCAGACTGCAAGAGATACAAACCATCCAAGGATCTAAAGGCTACCGTACCAAGAAACTATACAAGCAAGGAAGTCTGTCATGAACATAAGTATGTAAAATGATACAGATTGTACCAATAAGAAACAAGAAGCACACCAACCAATCATCATCAGGAGCCCATGAAGAACTGATCTGGTTCACATATAAACTCAGAAAGCCTTCTACAGAATACACAGTTTTGTCTCGGTGTCATGAGTTGCTAGAGTGACCACAAAAGAAAGCCATGAGGTAGCAACAATCCTAGACATATCAAAGATCTTATACTTGGGCTCGTGAACCTTTGCCCTGGAGGTGAGCAGAGATCTTTCAAAAATCACTGCCACGCAACATGTGAACACATGAGCAGCATTCTCAAGTAACACAAACACTGCAGCTGCGAGCCATTAGACAGACAGCCCTTAGACTGCAGGCTTTCCATCAGACTTCTTCCTACACATTTCCAGTTACTTTCTTCCAAAACTTCTACCTTCTGAAGCTTCTTAACAACAAAATATCCTTTTGAAAAAGTGTGCCACCTAAACATTAGTTAGAGTAACCGCTTGACGTACTGAGCACTAAAGTTCTGAGACACAAAGCAACATCATCTTCAGCAACGAGGCATCAAAACCCTTGGCACCAAAACACTTTCATCCACAGATGCACATCAGTGAAATTGTTTTGCCATAAAACTTCTGTACTGAGAAGCAGTTTCATTAAGAAAATAAACCTCTTTCCTCCCTCTTAAAACAATGCACTAATACAGCTCTGCAACTGGCTGGAGAGATGAGAAACACAACCTAAGTGTTACGAGTGGAAATAATTTATACTAACATGCTCTGTGAACTAAAACAGCTTTTGGAAACCATGCCCATTCACCTGTCTAAACGCAATGGATTCAGACTATGTTAAAATACTGACAACATCCACAGAATGGTGCAAGTCCTAAGCAGCACTGTCTTGTCTCCCAAGCTGCTACTCTTGTGCCTTCCCAAACAATTTCACTCTTTTATTTTATTAAATAGAAGATTAAGCTGATGGTGAGTTAATTCCCTTTTCTCTGTACCTGTCAATTTCTGTTGCTCTGAATCTCAAAAGATTTGCATTAAAATTTTTTCCATTAAACTGCAAATGCAGAAAATCTTCCCTTTGTGACTTTTTCCAATTCTCTCTTCTCTAGACTGAACTCCATCTGGTTTATCCTAAATTATCCTTATCTGTCTTCTGGCCATTTGATACTCCAAGATTTCAGACTTCACAAATAAAAGCTTTTCACTTATATTACAGCATCATATACAACCATCACTCTTCAATGTCAGAGTTCTCACTGGTCTTCTTACTCCATCTACAACCACCACCTCACTCTTCCAGTCTACGCTCACATTTTTCCCCCTTTTACTTACGTTGTCTTCCTATGCTTTATGCAAAACACTTTCAGCCACAGTTCCCTATCAAGACTGTATCGTGGCCTGTAAGTGTCAGCGGACTTCAATGCAACTTTATTTTCATATTCTATAGGATATGTTTCCTATGTTTTGTTTGTGCCCTGCTCAGCATAAGGTCAAAAAAAGTTACCACTACACCAATACAACATATAGTACATGCACATCTGCGCACGCGCAGATGGGGGTTTTTCTGAGAGCAAGGAAGTGGTGTATTACCATCTCCTTGCCTATAAGGAAAGGAAACACCATTTCTACTTCTCACTATCCAGCACAAAACAATAAAACACCTCTGGCTATCAAGATGTATTGTGAAATTACACCTTGTTAGTTAACAAAAAGTACAGTAAACTCAAGTCAAAAGAAAAAAAAAATAGTGTTTTATTAACTACCACACTGTTATAATACACTTTAAACGTACAATAAGGTAGCCTTTAAATTTGAGGTGGTTTTAAGAATAACAAATGAACAGATTTCCAAATGTTTGTAAATAGGTGAACTGCAGTTAATTATTGTACATTTTTTGAAAATGGTATAGCACTTACAGACTGGCTATATAACTTCATTTTGTACATTTTTCTATAATTGAAAATATAAACAGTAATTAAAAAATAAAAAGAAAATTCAGCATAATAAAAAACATATATGTTTATCAGTTAAATGTACTGGATACATACAATTTTAAAGGGAAGAAGCAAAAAAGGAAAGATGGCTGATATTTAAATGCAGATTGACTAACCAAAAACTAAACAACAAACAAATAAAAACCTCATAAAACCCCTAGTTCACTATGACTATATCCATACGTTTGGGAGTACTGTCAATATGGAAGTGATTTTTCTGTTGTATTTGCATATGTTATATTTTACTGGTAATTTACATGATGGCTTTTAAGGCCCTGGCAGACAGATGTTTTTTGGAAAAAGATTTGATAAAAATCACTGCTGAGACGCAATACACCTTATTTTTGGTCCTCCAATGTTCAAAAGAAGGGATATACTTCACTATAACATTTGCCTTACCACCCAAATGCCTCAACCTATACATATTTATTTTTTTAACATTTTAAGCTTTTTAAACATTGGTTATATTGCCCACCTTGGTTACTGAAAGAATATTAACAAGACATCATTTTGGCAAATTAAATCTTAAACATGGCTTTTCAATAGGATTTAAAAGGTGACTATCCCTAGAGCTCCATGTTAAAATGTAGTTTTCAAAATCTTACAAGAGTAATGCTTAAAATATTGTACATAGTTAACCTAATTAAAATAATTAGCTTCAAAATGACAAGTTGATGAGCTAAGTAAAGCCTACACTATGTAACATTTGCTTGGAAACTTGATTTGTCAGTTATGCATAATAAAAATTCCAGTCATCAAGAAAATTACAAAATTTCTTTTATCATAACATGATTTCTTTTCACCCATCAACTTCTTTTATCTTACAATAGATAAATACCAACATGTTCTCATTTTTTTTTACACTAAACCACACAGGATTGATGCATTTGGTTAGACTACCATTTCCATCGTTAAATTCTTTTTTTTTTAATATAACTTGGTAAAATTTCATCTCTTCTTGTTTCCAAAAGTACCTACAAAACCCATGCAATTTTACCATTTTAATATACTATGGAATATCATACAAAGTAAGGCATTTCAGTGTCATGTATAACCAAGTTACTGTCAATCCAAAAATTTTTGCACATCAATAAAAAGATATCTAAGAACTTAGGAACAATATTCTCCTCACTACTGTATAAAAATAACCACAATTAATAGGTATCTTGTGTAATATTTACTCCATTGTCTCGTTTCCCGAAACTGTGACAAGCTGTAAAGGTATTTCAGTGTTGGTAAGAATATCCTGATTGCTGGTGCCAGATGTGTTAACAGTTCCTATTCCTGAAACAGAACCTTGTTGAATATTTGCAAGAATAAGTGTTGTTCCTCCTGCAGTAATCAAAGTATCATCAGGTGTTGCTTCCACTGATGCCAGCACTGTACTGCTAGAGTGAATACCTTTTTTATTCTGATGCGTTTTAATGTGTTTGGCAAGGTGGTCACTTCTCATAAAGCGTTTTGAACATTCTGGACAGACAAATTTCTTCTCACCTGTCACAGAAGAAAAAAAAATGTTTTCAAGAGCATTAAAAATATCACATGTACACCAAAAACTGGGATAACTTACTGCCTCTAAGAGTCAGAATTCTAGCAACATCTATACTGAAGAAAAAAGCGATCGAACACGATAAACTTGTGTGTTAAATTTCTAGACACCCAGACAAATCCTTTAAAAGAATTGATTTATTTTTCTATGTCTTACTGAGTTTGGGAAGATCTTTCGGGCAAGCTAAAGAATATTGCCATCTCATATCCTCAGGCTGCTAAGTTTCACCGCAATTATTACCAGTAAATAACTTCTAAGAGGAGAACAAAACCTAACAAATAATGGACGGGGAAGACTATATGAGCTCCTGCAGAACCACACTTGAGACTGACAAACAAGATCATAGGGTAGTTCAGGTTTGAAGGGACTCTGGAGGTCTCTAGTCTGATCTCTCTTTAAGTAGGCTCAGCTATGAGGTCAGATCTGGTTGCTCCAGAATTTATCCAGTTTGGTCTTGAAAAATTTTAAGGACGGAGCCTGCAGAAACTCTCTGGGCATCCTGTTCCAGTGCCTCACAATGAAAAAGTTTTTATTTACATCTGGTCTGAACCTCTCTTGTTTCAACTTACATCTGTTGTCTCTCATCCTCCCACCAATGCACCACCATGGAAAGTCTCTGACTTCTTAACAGTGGCCTTGCAGGTACTAGAAGGCTGCTATCAAGCTCCTGCCTGCCCTTACTCTTCTCTTTGTGCAGCTGAATAAGCCTAGTTCCTACAGCCTCTCCTCATAAGGCAAATGCTCCAGCTTCCTGATCATATTGGTTACCCTTTAGTGAACTCAATCCTGTTGATCAATGTCTTTCTTATATTGGGGGCTGAAAACTAGATGCAATATTCTAGATGCAGTCTAACCAGTGCCAAGAAGGGGATAACCACTTCCCTAGAACTAGTGTGCCTCCTTCTGTTGATACAGTCCCGGCCACCTCTGCTGCTGGCCCTTGCTCATGTTGTGGTTGTCTATCAAGACTCCCAGGTACTTTTCAGTAGAGCTGCTTCCCAACTAGTCAGTGCTTAGCCTGTGCTGCCGGAAGGGTTAATTCCATCCTAGGTGCAGTACCTTGCATTTATCCTTGCTGAATTTGAGAATGTTCCTTCAGCCTCAGTCCCTCTGAATAGCAGCCTTGCCCTCAAATGCATTGACTGGTTGGCCCTGTTTAGTATCATCCACAAACCCAAGAAGCGTGCACTCTGTTGCCTCCTCCAGGTCAGTGATCAAGATGTTAAAACATGTCTCTTTATTGGTATGCAGGTACACTAGGAGTCACTAATGCTCTGAGCTGGATCACTCAACTAGCCTCGGTTTTTTAATCCCATCTGGCTGTCCATCCAGACAGACCATAACATCCCATCTTGGGTACAAGCATCCAAAAACACACCATTAGCTATAAAACATGACATATTTTCCACAGGCATTACAAGGACAGTTTTCTATGCAATGTAGATGCTGATAAGCACATAAATTATTTATCTATTGTCACTGGGTTTTTCAAATAGTCTAATTTTAAAAGGCAAGCATCCTGTAGAATGTAATTATGGGTTCAGTCTGTAGGAAAATAGGTAGTATAGACAGATTTTCAAATTTTATTTTTACAAACTGCTTCTTGAAAAGGTGGAAGATCTAGACTAATCTCTTTGCTTTGTATTAGAGACAAGGAGAAATGTGAACCCAGAGTCCCTAGACCACCCGGTCTAACCATGAAACTAGAAGATGCAGAATGATGCACCATCACATGCTCTTTGATTTTGTGAATGACATTTAATCTGGACATCCAGCCCTTTATTTTTCTTTTTCAAAATGAGAGAAAGTTACTGAAGTTTTAAGCTGGAACAACACTTCTAATCTGGTTCAAACAAATGAAACGCATTGCTGAACCCGAATCAAAGTATTCTGATAAAACTACATTAAATATTAGCTTAAACGTCAGCTCTGAATCAGAAAAGGTAGCTGTTTTTCCTCCTCAGTCTTCCTAAAGCAACCAAAGTGTATACATAGCTGTAAGCATTAGCTGATTTTAGAAAAGTCACACTACATTAAAATCAACCCAGTACAAAGATCTGTTCTCCTCTTAGAAATTATGTATGATAGCCCTCTCCATGACATGTCTTTAGTTAAAGGCACCAGAATCAAAGACTGAAAACCTGTGTGCGTTCTTCGGTGTCGCTGAAGCTCATCGCTGCGGGTGAACCTTTTGCCACAGAACATCCAAGTACAAACAAACGGACGCTCTCCAGAATGCCAGCGGAGATGAGCTCTCAAATGTGAAGTCTTCCCATATACTTTGCCACACCCTGGTATGTGACAAATAT